TGAAATTGATTTGCTATCGAAGGGTCTTAAATTTTGTCCAACACCAGATAAAAACGATAATGAAGAACTTCAGGCGGACATTCTGAAATTCTGCAGAAGACTTCGTCTATGCGATAAGTTTTGTGACGAAGACGGTGAAAGCAAACCGTTGGAAACAACGGCGTTAGTCCATAACAATTCGCAATGGAACCCACCAAGAAGTTCGGACAAACATTTAGAAGACGTCATTGATAGTTTAAAAAAGATTCCTTTACATAATGATAATCATAAACACGTAAAAAGTAATCTGTCTTACAGACAGAAATGTGCTTTGGATTCTTTAAGAAATGATACCTCTATTATTATCAAAGAGGCTGATAAAGGTAATGCAGTAGTGGTCATGAATAGAGATTTCTATTATGAATGCATACATAACATGCTTAGTAATGTTGAATTTTATGCTTCGGCAAGTGACGATTTCGATGCGGAAACCCGTAGATTAATCAACGAGCTAACACGGACACATGAAGCATGCCTACATGAAAAGGAGATAGATTATCTTGTCAATTTTATGCATAAAACTAGTTATTTCTATGGTTTGCCTAAAATCCACAAAAGCTCTATTATAAGTAAAGCTATAGAAGAACAAAACTGTACATATATTGAAGTTGAAAATCCTACGGATTTGAAGTTTAGACCCATAGTAGGCGGCCCTAATAGTGCAACGCAACGTTTGAGTCATCTTGTAGACCTCATTCTTAAACCTTTATGCACAAGTGTAAACAGTTATATCAAAGATGATTTTGATTTTCTGAGCCGTTTATCTAAACAGGTCCCACATAATGCTAAACTTGTTTCTTTTGATGTTGTTAGTTTATACACTAATATACCGCATGATCTTGGTATTGAAGCTGTTAAATATTGGTTGATCAAAAAACGAGAAAAAGTTAATTCTCGTTTTAGTAATGAATTTATACTGCAAGCTCTAGACATTGTCCTCAATCGTAATTCTTTTTATTTTGAGCAAGAATACTTTCAACAGATTAAGGGTACAGCGATGGGAACTAAAGTTGCCCCTACATATGCAACCTTAGTTTTAGGATACTTAGAGGAAACACTTTATTCTAAGATTGAGACAAAGTTTGGGGAAAACTTTACTGAATTTATCAGAAATAATTTTTTAAGGTTCCTTGACGATTGTTTTGTTATATGGCCTTCTGATAAGGATTTAAATGAATTTCAAAACCTATTGAATTCTTTACATCCTTCTATTTGTTATACGATGGAGTGTAGCGAAACGTCTTTACCTTTCTTAGATGTTTTAGTTCAACTAGATTCAAATAAGATTACAACGGATTTATATTGTAAAGCTACAGATGCACATAATTATCTAAATTTTTACTCTAACCACAGTAAACACACTAAAGTTAATATTCCATTTAATCTTGCCTCACGGATTGTCACTATCGTCAGTGACCAACAAGCTCAAATTGCTAGACTAAGTCAACTAAAGCAATACCTTAAAGCTCAATGTTATCCTACTGAGATAATAGAACATGGTATACAGAAAGCTATTGAAAAGGGACCCTTTACTTCCCGTCTACAAAAACTAAAGGATGAATCAAAGTTAGTTCCTTTTGTTTCTACTTTCAATCCACGGAATTGTAATATGTTTCCTGTGATAAAGAACAAATGTGAAGAGTTAAAGCAAAGTAGCAGGCGTATGAGAAACATTTTTAATAAACATGCTATTTTACACTGTAGACGCCAACCTAAAAACTTGAAACGTATGTTGACATGTTCTAAGTTTGATAATTCTTGTGTAACACCAAAAGTATCCAAATGTAAGACACCAAGATGTGCTACATGTCCTATGATTATCGAGTGTAATACTTTTATTTTCAAGAATGGTTTGAAATTTACTGTGAAGGTAAATATGAATTGTAAATCAAAAAATGTAATTTATGCAATCGTTTGTTCTAAATGTGGTGATTTTTACATCGGTCAAACCGGTAATGAACTCAGAACACGTATGACTGTACATAGACAACAAACTAGAACTGATTCTTTACGAAATCTTCATGTTAACAAACATATTCATGAATGTGCTGGAGATAAATTTAATGTATTACCTTTGTATCAACTATTTTCATCAGACACTATTTTAAGAGAAACGAAAGAAGACCAACTAATAAAAATATTAAAACCGAGTCTCAACAGGCCACAATAAAATTTTACGCCAAATTGTCCACCAATCTTGTGTACTTCGTGACGTCACGTTACTATTGTAGTGTGATGACATGTAATTGTGACGTCACGACGTTGTTCTCTTTTGAATAAACCTGAAGAGCCCTGTGAAGGGTGAAAGCAGCTAGTTTTTTAGTCGGTCGTTAATTTTATTTTTTCTATATATATATATATATATAGGCTATGCATGCCATGGACCGATTGTTGACGTAATCATTATAATGACGTCATAATTGTTACGTTGGATACCACTGACAATAGTTGTTCTATTCACTGAACAAGCATACACGATACACACATTATTTTGAACTAAATGCTGAATAATAGTAAGTATAGTTGGATTTTCTATGAGATAAACAGATTCCAAAAATGTTAAATATAAGTGTGCGTCCACGAAATAAGAAGTTTGCCAGCATTCCGTTGTTGTATAATTAGACATAGTAGATCCCCAATATGTTCCATGTATCTAGACGGTGAAGGAACCCAGCAATGCTTGTTATAGCCTGACATAGGACTGGTTATCTCGCTTGTAGCGTGAACGGCGCCATATTTGAAACAAGTATCAATCCGCCGAGCCTTTTTTCTATGCGTATGCGCTAATTCATACGTAGTCAGAGTTTACTAAGCTGAAGAAAGAAGAGATGCAAATATATAGTTATAAACAACATAATATGGTACAGAGTAACTACAAATATGTTTGAGATCGATGCCTGCAGTACGACAAGGGAACACCATCAGAAAAATGATAAATCGTCGTCAATTTGTTAAACATAAATACACCTTTTTCCAAGTTATTGAGTTGCGGACTTACAACAACAACAAAGAAATAGTAAAATCTATAGCCCTATTGCAATGTAGGCGATATATTCCAACCAAAGGGATGCAGAGGGTTTCTTCGGTAACTCAGGGAAAATGTTTAGAAATACTAGCTTTAAACTTGGCCATTGCGTATGCGTTTACATGTTATTTTTTTCTTTCTCCAGTTCGGGCACTAGTTCCGTTGACCTGACCAAAGTAGCTATTCCAAAGAATAAGACGTCTACGGCTGCTATGGTTACGGGTGTAGCAGGACCAATAGGAAGAAAGTTAAGCCAGCAGATGGGGCTAGGTATATACCCTTTTCTGGATTTTAGAATATGAATACGGACCCCTTCCAATGTTTATTCTTTAAAATAATGTTGGTAGTGAAAACGCTCAGGTATATGTTGATGAAATTATGATACAAGTTCAGTGTTTGTCCACGTAAAGAAGGCAATTGGTTCTGTCCCCTAAGCCGGGACATACCGAAGTCCGTACGAAAATGGCAGTTGTTATTCCCTGCTTAACGTTCAGCATTAAGGGAAATCGCAACAACTGGTCCACTCGTTATTAGTACAATGTGGCCAGGTGGAATACTGTGCTGGGTGCTAATCAAAATTACACAAAAATAGTATATACCCGTTGAAAATATTTAAAATTATAATCTATCAGTTTTCTGCTTCCGGGTCGTAGAGTAATTGTATATTATTATAACTAATAACTTTTACTTACCGATTCCTTTATACTTATCTCTCCCTGTTTATCACACCCCTTCATAACACTAACACTTTGTATACTTATCCCTCGCTGTTTATCACACCCCTTCATAACGCTAACACTTTGTATACTTATCCCTCGCTGTTTATCACACCCCTTCAT